AAAAAAAAAAAAAAAAAAAAAAAAAAAAAAAAAAAAAAAAAAAAAAAAAAAAAAAAAAAAAAGTAGAGTGTAGCACACAATAGAAATGCCTGAAGAAGTCAACAAACTGGCAGGAAACATATGTTGCATCAAAAAGTATATGCGAGGGGTGGTGGTGAGGGCGGACGGAGAAACTTACATGTGGACAAGATTAGGCAATCTAGATAGCTCAGATGGGATTTCACCACTGATAGAGTTGTTATTCATGTGACTGAGTCAAAAAGGAAAGGGAGTATTAAATAAACTTCCAAGATGAAAAGTAAGTTGCAGAAATATTCTATACTATCAGAATCAGAAACGTGCTTACAAATGCTTTGCTGCTTTTAAGTTTGCAAATGACTTAGGTATGGGTCCTGATATATGGTTCTGGTCAATCTGTATTCTGTCTAAACGTAGAAGATTCCCAAGCTCTTCAGGCAATGAACCTGACAACTGGTTCCCATTCAGAAGCCTGTAAAACATCTTATAGAAAGTAAAGCAGTGCAGGAGATGAAATAGGAAGTATCAGATTTTCCCCTGTAATACTAAATATTCAGACACATCGAGTAGTTTATATACTAACACTTTGAGAACTTACTCATGGATTGCATACTAAAAAATTTAGTGAAGATATGATGATGCGTCAGCATAGTTTTAGATAAACCAGACAACCTTTGTCAAAGTGAATCAAGTAAATCAACTTACAACAGTTCTAAGGACGTAAGATTGCCTATCTCTCCTGGTATTTCCCCATTGATCTCATTCCACATGAAGTCCCTTTTCACAAAATATGAAAAAGTGCGTTAGCAGATAGAAAATCACATGGGTAAATCAAATTCTAGTTCATCCGTTTCCAGTTCATTAGTAACTTACAAAACTTTCAGGTAAGATAAACGGCCAAGCGCAGGGGACAAATTTCCCGATAAGCTCATATTTAGAAGTTGCCTGCAAGGGATTACAAGGACCGATGATTTAGCTTCTTCTTCATGAAAAAGTATAAGGAGAAAGATAGAATTTAACACCTAATATATGAGTAACCAAAATATGAGATGCACACATGACCATCATACGCAATCATTAACAAATTTGGAGCATGCAGTCGATTATTTGAACAACAAGCCCTTTCATAGATGTTCAAGTCCCAAAGTTAAGTCGGTGACTATCTAATAAAATTAAGAACTATTTCCAGAATAACAATTACAATTTGTTGTTTTAAAACTGGTATCAAAGGATGGATGGAGATACGTCTTAACGTAAGTTATAAGAGTCCACTAATTCTTGAAATCATACAATTCAGTAACATGCCGATAGTTATCATCCAATGTGGTATTGTCGCACAGAACACCAGTCCAGTTTGAAATACAAGGATCTCCTCTGTTCCAGTTGCTCAGATTCCCATTAGGATCGAACAAACTTCTCTTGATGTCTCGCAAAGCGTCCACTGACAATAAAAAGAAAGAGTAACCAAAATTTCAAGGAAGATAGAATGTTAGATCATAAGAATTGAGAGAGAAGTCTCTTTTTCTTATCGAAATCTCCTTTACCCTTACGCGATGCGTCAGATATTTTGGACGATTGGAATGAAATGAAGGGAGAAGAGGAATTACCTTCAGAGGGGTGGGTAACCGGCTCTGCGGCACCGACAAGCAGTATGGACGACGAGAAGCACAGGAGGAGAAGGGCTACATATGCCCACTCCTGTGATCGACACATTCCCGGAGTGGAAGTGTTTCTGAGGCGTTGAAATGAAAGATTTAGGAAGGATGAAAAAGGGGATTGAAGAGGAAGATAATAGTTGAAAAGAGGAAAGGGAGATGGTGGTGGCTGTGGATGGACCGATCACCAAAGCAGTTGTTGAACACATTGTTGGTGTTTTACTTGTAGTTTTGGTCAGACGATGGAAGCCAGTCAACTCAACTATAATCGATTGTAATTGATGGAGGTATAAAAAAAAAATGTAGTAGGTGAAGACCCGGACCCACTCAATTCAACAAGCTAATGGGTATGATGGCTATGGCGTTGCCGAAATGTAGAATTGGTCCTCGATTGGTGGCGGTGGGTGCCGGTGGATTGAGTTCGTCCTGCTCATACCTGCCCCCAACTGTCTGGTTGCTTTGCGTGCAAATTTAATCGCCCACAATTTTGACTTTTTCATTCAACACCATCCTTACAAAATTTGCCCACATCCAGAGGAGCTGTTGTTTTTCTGTTCTTCATTTCTTCTTATTTGGTCCTTGTTTCTTCCTTATTTTTATCGTGAGTTGAAGAATTTGATCTGCATGGTATATATAAAATATTCTTAAAAACCTTTTGAAATGAGGTATATATAAAATATTCTTAAAAGAAAAACAAAACCCTAAATTCTATTTTCCCCGGTTTTTTTCTTCTCCCTCTCACTGCAGTAGCCGCACATCTGCACCCTTTCTTTTAGCTCTTTCCTTCGTCTTTCATATACCCTCCCTTCCACAACTCAAACCGGCCCCTGTGCAGCATTCTTGTACAACAGCCAATCGTCGAGGTTCGTTTACACTCTCATCTTCCGTAACCCCGTTCTCTCAGTGGATCATAGTTCGCAAGGTTTTTTTTTTTTTTTTTTTTTTTTCATTTTCTGTTCATCGTGTTTCCTTCGGTTTATCATTTATGAAAATTGGGTAAAATTGGAGCGAGGTGAAATACTATTTAAAATCCTGCCAAATCCAACCAATTTTGGACTGATTATTTTTTTTAAACTCAAGACTGGATTTCAAATCAAATTGCTTTTGAAAATGATTTGAAATCCATTTTGATTTCAAGTCCTTCCAAATCCTGAGGGGTTCAAACAAGGGGTTAGTTTCAGTGTCTCGTTCTTATGACAGATTATTGGGAAAATTGCTCAATGATCATAATTTGTTAAATTATGACTATCTTGGAGTCGTTTTAGTTTGTATTTGTGTTTGATTCAGCTGGATCGTTTGTACACAGATTGAACTTATCTATTTAGATTATTTAAGAGGCATTGGGTGGAAATTTCAAGCTCATCACATAATTTTAGCAGGTTCTCCGTCTTTCGATTCAAAATATCTGTGGTATTATGGATGAAATTGGGAGGGGATGCGGAGTGGTTCCCGGGTTAAGTTTATTTTCCCATGTTTCAAGTTTGGAATTGGGTAATTGCTTCTACGATTTTGAGGGTTAAGCTTCGGATTGGGCAAAGCAGAGGGGAAAGAAATGGAAAGAAAAGAGAGAGTGGACGTTATTTTTCTTGCCAGGTTACAAAAAATCTACAATGTGATATACAGACATATAATTGCTAAGGCGAGCGTCTAATTTGTATCAATTGAGCAACGTTGTCAAGATTATTACTTTTTCCCCCTAGCTTTCAAGGCTTAGAATGTCCCATTTAAACGTGGGGAAGTTGAGTCACTTCTCAAACCTCAGGACGGAAAGTGTGTTTTTTCACTCTCATTTCTTGTTGTATTTGAAATGGTAGAAGGTTCTTTCAGCAATAGTTAGTAGTTTTTTAGGTTCACACAATTAGCTAGTAGTCATAGGCATGGCCACCTTCTCTGGTAGCTCCTATTTTCTCTCTTATTTGTTCTCAATGCCTATTAAAAAGGCATTCGTTTGTTATTGTTGTTATCTGTGCTTTAGCACTGCAGTATGAATAATCCATTTTGGATCATGGCTGCCACATTTCCTTCTGTATTTGTTGTTTGCAACAAAGGTACTAGAGATTGCTGCAAATTGTTTCCATCCATCAAGATAGAGTCGTTGTCCTTGGATGTGGCATATTTGACAGGTTCAATGAGAAAAAACTTGGGATGGTCATAGAGGAGCCATGGGATAAGATCCTTCAGCACGAGAGTGGGTATGATCAAAATTTTATTCTGGTACAAGTGTGGTGAGTTTCTCTTGGAGACATGTTCAAACTTTGTAAGTTTGAGCACTCTCCTTTAGATGAGTGGTGGAAGAAGCATAAAGGCAAAGTACAAATATGTTTGTGTTCACCGGTGATCCAAGGCTCCATTTGAATGTGATTTATGGTTGCTTGCTGGTGTTTATGTTTTAACTCAGTTAAATTAATCCTCCTATACCATCTTGCAGGAATCATGGCAGACGAAGTTCAGAATGATGTGAATGATCAGGTGGCAGATGTGAGTTTTTCTGTTTCTTATCTGTTATCTCCAAGCACATATTTTCATTCAAAATTTTCTCATATGGCTGATCTTTTCATTTTTTGTTTTTTTTTTTTCTTTACAAGTATTCCCTAAAGGTTTTTTCTAAACTGTCGAATATTTTTTTTCTGTAGTTATACCTCCCTCATTGTAAATGGGGAAGGTCTTTTGTAAACATCATGGATATTACATCCCTTTCGTAATCAATCACCAATAAAACTATCTCTTATAAAAAAAAAGTATTCCCCAAAGGAAACCTAAATCTTTGAGTTGTAATTCAGTGGGTGTTTCTACACATGGGAGGGAGGGGGTGGGAATTAAATTCTGTCATGTACAGCTGAAGGATATACTGTAACCCAGTGTTGTGCTATTAGTTGTAAGGTCTTGATTACCAAGCATTTTGGAAGTCCAAGGAATAAATTGTAACCCTTGAGGCGGCAGTCATTGATGATTAGTCCAGTTTACGTAAATGTTATACTAATAGTTTTCTGGTCTTGTTTAAGATTGCACAGTCCAATCAAGTCCTCGAGGTATTTTCTATTCGGTTGTTTTCATGTGGAGTTGCTTTGGCTGGTATCTTACTAAGTGTCTATCCAAATCTCTGAGTAATTGCAATCTAGTGCAGTTTCCAAACCATTGTTCAGGCGCAAGCATTGGTGCGACACCATGACGAATGTGTACGGTTTATTCTTTGCAGATTGCCCCCTTTGATCCAACTAAGAAGAAGAAGAAGAAGAAGGTTGTACTTCAGGATCTGGCTGATGAGTCTGTTGACAAGTTAGCAGAGAAAACCGAAAGTTTGTCAGGTATGAAAAGTTGACACTGCATCTTTGTTTCATGTTATTTTCATTTTGTTGGTGATAAGGATTTTTTATTGATGTTTAATTTTACATATTTTGTCCTGCAGTTTCTGATGGTCTGGAGACTACCACATTTTCTGGACTTAAAAAGAAGAAGAAAAAACCAGTATGTTCTTACTTTTCTTCGGTGAGGCTCTATTTCGTGACTGATATCATTTGTTTTAATTCTAGGTAGAGGCTATTTCCTTGACTGACGATGGTGCCGATGCTACGGAGGATTTGGAAGGTTAGCAACACATATGTAAACTTTGTTTTGTCTTTTCCTTTTCTTTTTTGTTTTCACATTATTATTTTTAAGTTCGGAATATCTCTATCTACTTTCTACGTCATGCTAATAATTGTATTTTAAAAACGTTAAAGGTGTATAGTTTTCATGGAAGTAGTGTTTTTTGAAGGCTTAGGAAAAAAGTTAAAGGTGTATAGTTTCCATGTAAGTAGCATTTTTTGAAGAGTTAGGGACACTAGATTGTTATAATCATGGGGCTTAAACGTGGGCTGCAAAGAAAAAGTAAATACAATAGTTTTTTTTATGAATCATAAGATAACTAAAAGCTTTAGAAATTAAAGACTTTGTTATCACACAAGGGTGGATCCACGTTGGGGCCAGTGCCAGAGGTGGCATGTTCCCCCCACCTCACCCCTAAATAATCGGTTTTATATATGTTTACATGGTGGTTTATTGTAAGAGTGGGCACATAAAAGCTGTGCATCTTCTTACCAGGTTTGTTCTATTTTATTTTATTTCTTTAATTTATATATTTATATATTATTCTACCCCCACCCATATGAGACTTCAAAAATCACCATCGCCACTTTCAATTTCCAATCTCAGGAAAAAAAAAATCTTTATTCTATTTCAATTTTTTTCTTTCTAATGTGTGCATATATAAAGAGACAAGCATATTTTTTTTTTAATAATATTTATTAACTTTTTTTTAAATATTAATTTCATAAAAATCTTAATTTTATTTTTGAAATGTTTGACAAAAATTTCAAGTTTCATTCTTTGCTTATATAATTAAATGGATACTTATGTAATGGTTTATTATAATTTTGTGATTGATATTACTCAATCTAAGTATTATGTATCAATGCATTTACAATTATATTTACATGTACCTACTGATTTAGTTCTTGAATTTTCAAACTTTTATCTCATTAGTCTCTAAACTTTCAATTATTGTGTCCACTGAGCCCGGTAAAAATGTCTAATAGATCAATGAATTATTAATTTTGTATCAAATAGGTGACATATTTAAAACTCTTAAAATTATTTTATTAGACATAATTTCTGGAAAGGTGCACTTTTTAAATCAGTGTAATTGTCCATATATTGTATAAAGTCGCTCATTGAAAAAACGTTGTGCTATACCTGCAGCTTGTATAGAACATTCTGTTGTTCACAATCTCCTTTTCATCTGTAGCTCTTTCTTTATTTTAAAAGTGATTTATCATGAGCTTTCAGATCAAGCGGGGGAGAACGAAGATCAAGACGGAATTACTTTACAGTATCGTTATCCTTGGGAAGGAAGCGATCGTGATTATGAATATGAGGAGGTAATGACTTTTTGTTGTTAGGTTGTGCCCAAAATTTGGGCGACTCCGATAAATTAGATTTAATGTAAAGTTGTGTACTACGGAGCACAAACGCTCTCTAGAGGGGGAGGGGGTGTCCATGTTAGACACATGTTGGACATGGATTCTTCTGGGCATGCTCTGGACACGTGCTGGACACACAAAAATCAGTGCCTTTTTTTTAATTACTTTTATAATTTGACACGGAAAAGAATTTGAATTCAAAATATAGGGGCAAAAATGAAGCTTAATTAACCAGCCCAATATAAAAGCCCAAGCCTATTATAACAAACACTGAAATTAAAATGTAGGAGGCAGGAGTCAGACGGTCGTTCTGGCTCCTTATTCTCATCTACCTCCAGTCTCCACCTCGCCTCACATGCAATGGCACCGATCGGCGGCAGCACTCCACTTCCAGCCTCCTCAATATATTCTCACCCTAAACCCTAGCAGCTGAAATCAGACTACACATTTTATGTTTGTTAGTGAACTACATTACAAATAGGTTTATTTTGTTAAATGTTGGATAATGGGTTTTGTTCAACTGTCAATTGACTAGGCATTTTATGTTTGTTAGTGAACTACATTTGACGTGGTTATTCTCTTTTGCTTTAAGGTGTGGAGTTTGCTTTTGGTGCTCTACAATTGATTGCACGAGTTTGTGAGCTATTTTGTTATGTTGAGTCCTCCTTTTCAAGATAAAGTGTTTATTATGGAAAATTGTTTTTGTTGTTGTTCTTGTCTGGAATCATGCTTAGAAAGAAATAAGAGGTTTTGTTGTGTCGTGTAATGAAATTTATTGCTTCACCCCAAATGAGTTAAAATGTAAGATTTCAATTGTTGTCATTGTTTCTTTTTCCTTTTTATAGTCTCATATTCATGGTATTCTTTGCTTGGTATTACTAATAGTAGAAGTAAAGATTGCTCAAGATTTTCTGACTTCTATTTTAGACAGAACAAATTTATTGCTACCGTTACGTTGTGGACTTTGGCTAACATTAGATAAGTGATGCTTTTTGTTGTCTTGTTGTGCAGCTTCTTGGACGGGTATTCAACATTCTTAGAGAGAATAATCCAGAGCTTGCAGGCGATAGGCGTAGAACAGTTATGAGGCCTCCTCAAGTTCTTCGTGAAGGCACAAAGAAAACTGTTTTTGTCAATTTCATGGATCTCTGTAAAACGTATGTGTTCATTAGCCTTATATAACCATGTATTGTTCTTACTAGATTTTAATCATAGACTGCCTAAATATTTTTGGCTGTTCGCACTTCAGAATTTTTTTGTCCGCTGTTTTTTTTATTCAATTCAACAAATAAGTTAATATGCTTATTCCATAATATGCTGTCTGTTATTAAACTCTTGTTTGCTGCGTGCACACTATCTAGAGTTTGATGTAATCTATTGCATCTTTCTGTCCTCAGAGGCGTTGTTTCTTTTTCTTCAAACTATCTAATACTAACTTCTTTTTTGTATGCACTTGTATTCTTTCATTTTTCTCAATGAAAGTTGATCTTTTATTTAAATGGAAGAATGACGTCATATTCATAGATATCTTTTTTGCTCTAGCATTTGCCTTGTAGGATACAAGTATCCCTGTCACATGTTAGTTCTGAGTTTCATTGGTTTATAAAGATCTGTGATCTAGTGATCTATATGATTCTTGTAAGAGCGAGTTTGGGTTGTTATTGCAATATGCACATTCTCTACTAGTACATATGATTCTTTAAGAGTGAGTTCGGGTTGTTTTACATTAAGCACATTCTCTACTAATACAGAGTGGAAAAAAAATTGGAGGGAAGTTGCTTGTTTATCATTCTGACGAGTGAATCTAGTCATGTCCAGTGCAGAGTATCACTCTTTGTACCATGGTTTTGTTCTCAATTTCTATCCGACAATTGATCTGTAATTTTTAGTTTCAGATCCATCTAAGTTCATCTATTGCACAAATAGTCCAGAGGGGTATTTATGTTTCCTCATAAAAGTGCAGCATTATGTATTTCTTTTAGCCTCTCCCACTCTTTGCTCTCTCTATATTTCTATGGTAGATGCTTGATGGTATAATTAGAACTATATGCTGGTCTTTGGAACTGACTCTCTAAAACTGAAATAAAATAGGATGCATCGGCAGCCAGACCATGTTATGGCTTTCTTATTAGCCGAACTGGGAACCAGTGGATCTCTTGATGGACAGCAGAGATTAGTTGTTAAAGGAAGGTTTGCACCAAAGAACTTTGAAGGAATTCTGCGTCGATATGTCAGTAAGTGGCCTCTCATTGATTTACTTATGGTATTTGTCTACAAAATGTGACAATCTTTATACATCGGGGAGTGGGTGGGAATCAGTTTGTAAGAAATGGACTTGTTTCAATTTCAACTGATAAATATGTTGACGCTTGTTTAAAGCTTAATCGTGGGTTGGAGAGGAGGAAAAAAAAACGAATTTTTGGAGGGCTTGAGAGATCTTGAGGTGAAGTTTGGTCCTTTGTTAGATTCAATGTGTTTTTATGAGCTTATGTGATAACCTTTTAGTAATTATTACTTGGGACTTCTTTGCTTGATTGGAATTTGTTTTTGCAGTTTGCCTCTCTTTTTTGTTGGCTCTCTTTTGTTAAGCCCTTGTATTCTTTCAATTCTTTCCAACCAATGTAAACTCTGTTACTCATAAAAAAAAGAAGCTTAATAACTGTTGCAAGTCTCTACTGGATACGTTTTGTTACCAACTAATAAGTTATTTGATTCACTTCTAATTTATACCTTTCTTTATAGTTTCCTCCCTTCCCTCATTTATTTATTCCTTTCAGATGAATATGTGATTTGCATTGGGTGCAAGAGTCCAGACACTATCCTTTCAAAGGAGAATCGACTCTTCTTTCTCAGATGTGAGAAGGTAAGCTTTTTTCTTTTTTTTTTTTTGAGTTTTCTAGTCCTGAGTACTGTAGTCTGGAGAAGTTGATGCATGTTTATTGCCTAGTTGTGATTTGTGTGTGAAGTTTGTTTGGCACTTGCAAACCGATGCAATGGTCAAACTCCCAGGATTAAGAAAGCAGCGGCATAATGGTCTCTACCTAAATATATTTGCGATGGTTCTTTCAATTGCATTGTTGGGGGAAATGATGAATCAGGATATTTGCGTTCATTCTTAAATTTATTTTATATCCCAGATTGCCTATCTGAGATCTGATATTGAATAGATTATTTTTTATGTACCCTGCGCTTCTTCCTACTAGAAAAGCAATTGAAGTTTGACAAATTCATGTGAAAAAGCCATTATTTATTTATTACTTCTTTTTCATAATCAGGAATATGATTAACTGGAGGTTTTGGTATTCTATTTCACTTCACAAGCTTTCGTATTCTTTCTGGAGTCATCTCTCCCTTGTTTTTACCTCAAGTCTTATGTTGTTTTGTGTGTGATCAAACAGTGTGGTTCTGGACGATCAGTTGCTCCCATTAAAGCTGGTTTTGTTGCTCGTGTCGGCCGGAGGAACGCTGGGACATGATTATCACTTGTTTGCTTGTATGGAAGCCTGATGTTTTTGAGTAATAACCACTTGTTAAAACTTGGTTTACTATCGAATTGTCGCAAGTGAATTTTGAAGTGAATGCGATATTGTAATTGGGGTTCTAGAATTTAAGATAATGACGAGTTACAAGGCCGTGTTTATTCTCTTTTCTTTCTGTCCATTTGGATGTCTAGATGGCTACTGATTGGGTTGTATTTGGGCAATTACAAGGCTATCCAAAATGGCGTTATGAACACACACTCGCAAATTCATTCAATTACATGATATGTTAAATTAACTTGAGACCAATAATTATTATCCTGCGTTTTACGCTAGACGCTACTGAATCTATCGATTTATTTTGATTGAAGAAACAACGTATTCGTAATGTTGGAACATAAAGAATTAGAAAAAGTGTCGTGATCTGCATGTTTTATTTAAAAAATGTCGGTCTGAAATTCAGGTTTCGTGGAAACATGGAAAGTCAATAGGGAAGGGCAATATGGTCATTTGGGTACATAAGTGGAAGCATGGTTGAGAAAATGGGGGGAAATAGAGCAGGCAGTGTCTGTTGAATGTTCTTAATCAGACCGTCTCCACCACTTCCACTCTGTTTTGCTCCTCTTCGTCCTCTCCAAAACTAGAATATGCGATACAGCCATTGAATTTAAGATCGGCCTTTCCGTTCATTGCATTCCAGCTTGTTCTCTCATCTTCTGGAGGCGCGGCCATTGGTTACAGTAAGCTTCCTCTCTCCTGATCTCTCCTTTCTTATTTGTATTTCCATTTCAATTTCGACTCACAAAGCTCTTAGTGCTCTGATTCTCCTTCAAATCCCTCATATCAATTTATCTTCACCATAATGGGTTCTATTTTCTTGTCAGAAAAAAAAAAAAAAGTTCAAGCAGGGTAGAACAACTAATTATTTTGAAGATTATTAGCGTGTGATTGTGTATATTTTGTATTAAAGAGGGAGGTGAGGTGAGGTGGGAGTGCATTGAATTAAAAGCGAACGCGTGGACTGCATAGCTTGAACCGCTGACAGTTGTAATAGTCAAACCCTCGGCCTGGCTTCCCGTCTGCCGCGCCGCGACATGTTCAATGGTAATGTAGATTTATTAATGCGCGTGCCATTGCCGTCACTCAACGTCGCCAAATTAGTCTTTAATGGGCCTCGAAGCCCATTTCCATTGTATCTATCGCCCTACTTACCTACCTCCGGCGAGTCCAGCCATACCTGATTTGATTTGATTTGATTTAGTTTGGTTTTGTTGAGATAGTAAATCGGGTGTCTGTTCTTTTCTTGATTTGATTTTGTTGAGAAAGTAAAGCGGGTTTCTGTTCTTTTCTTTGGATGGTATGTTTTCGTTTTCAGTTTCAGTTTAGGCTCCGTTGGCTCTGAGTGAACATTCAACTCCACGCCTCAATGGATAACTCATCGGTATGCGTCTATCGCTCTTCTTCTGCTACATACTGAGTTGCTCAATTAGCCAACTATATCTCGCCTGCTTTATAATCATCACTTCTGTGTGTGTTGCTCTTGATCTCAGGCTCGGAGTGATCGGAAATTGAAGAGGTTGGAATCTCGGAAGTCCCATTCTTGGTGGTGGGATAGTCACGTCAGCCCCAAAAACTCTAGATGGCTCACGGACAATCTCGAGGGTTAGTTACTACTTTTCTTCTATCTGCATAACGCTCTTAACTTCGGATCGGAGGAATTTGATCTTATAATCTTGTTTATTTTATTTAAATTATATCCATAAATTTAAGCAACCTTTTAAACTTCAAATTCATGTTTCAATTACTTCTTCAACAAATATCAGGGCCTGACCTCTTTGAAATGTTAGGGTTGTGATTGAAGAACGTTATTTAGTACGTATGTAATGCATAATCGAAACAAGTGCTTCTTTGGGCTGGCCTTATATAGATAGCACTTCCCCTCTTTTGTGTTCGTTTTCCGCTGGGAGTGCTAAAAAAAAGATAAAGGTATTATTAGGTATAGTGGGAGGGCCTCAATATATTGAGAATTTTGTAGGGGCCTACCATTCGTTTACTATATTTGTCTTTATGCTGTTTCTTGTAACCTTTACCAACTAATGCCAAATAACAACTAAGGAAATTGTTCTCCTCTAATTCTCATGTTGAGGATTTTTTTTTTTTCCTTTTATTTAACAGTTCTCCCCATTTTCAATTCATAATCTAAAAGGGGTGGGGTTAAATTTGGGAATGTGGGTAGCAGTTCCAAAATTTTAGCTTCTTCCTCCTTTCTGCATGAACCTTATGGTGCATGTGTTTCAACTACCCAAACATTGGCATGGAATTAGTTCCGTAAGCTCCATGTTTTATTTCTGTAATTCAACGATAGGTGGAAGTCAATGTTAATTCATCATCAAAATGATAATCAAAAAATTGACAAAACGATCGTTGAATACAGAGATGGACCGGAGCATCAAACGTATGTTGAAGCTAATAGAAGAGGATGCAGATTCATTTGCAAAGAAGGCTGAGATGTATTATCAGAAGAGGCCAGTGTTGATTTCTCATGTTGAGGATTTCTACCGCATGTATCGTTCCCTTGCTGAGCGCTATGATCATGTGACAGGAGAGCTTCGAAAAAATATTCCTTCAGATCTACAATCCCAGGGCTCTGGTATTTCTGACCTGGGCTCTGAGCCGTCCTCTACATGGCCCTCTCCTGACCAAAGGCTTGGACGTCGGAAATCTGGGCCACGAGCTGCTGGCTTTGATTTCTTCCTTGGATCTGGTGGGAGCAACTCTGATACTTGCCAAAAGGAAGGAGATGAGTCATCTTCCTTGACAGATTCTGAACCTGAATCGGATGATTCCTCGGTGAATAATTATTCAGGTGGTGATCAAGTTGTGAACAGGAAAATGATTGAATTGGAGATAGAGCTCCGTCAGGCTAAAGAAAAGCTCCGCTTGAAAGAGGATAATGCCGAAGGTTCATTTCCATTCAAGGGGGCAACAGATGAAAATTCTGATGATGTATTTGCTAGAATGTCTGTGTACGAGGAAGAAGTAAGGAATGCAAATGAGAAGCTCCGGATTTCAGATGTACAGATCATGAAGTTGAAAAGTGAGCTCCAAAAGTACAGGCAAGCAGAATTGTCCAAAGATTTGCAGGCGGAGTCTGTGTGTGCTACAGTGGAAGATATCCAGAGGCACGAGAATGGAGCCATTAATCAGAAACCAGAGGTTGAAGAACATGATAAAGGTTTGGGAGTTGACCAAGTCATCAACGTGGAGGGAGTGTTGGAAGAACTAAAAATTACGAAGGAAAAACTCGATAACTCGCAGAAAGAACTTTCTAAATTAAAGCTTGAACTTGAGAACAATAGATCACCTGAGAAAATCTTGCATTTACAGAATGAGCTTGAAGCTGCCCGAAAAGATGCCACGACATGGAAGGCCAAACTAAGTGCGGAGAGAAGAGAGGTCTCCAAGCTACAAGAAAGAGTTTCGAGGTTGAAAGCTAGTTTATCGGATCGAGAGCACGAGATTAGGGATTTAAAACTAGCAGTATCTGATGCGGAGCTGAAAATTTTTCCTGAGAAAGCACAGGTTAAGGCTGAAATGTCTAAGCTTTTTGAGGAACGAGCTGTATTGATGGAACAAGTGAGAGAAGGGGAACATCAAGCTCGTGTTTTGGAGGATGAGATCAGAAAAGTGAAGGGGGAAAAGGGGGATTTGGAGGAGAGACTTAGTGGTGAGATTGGGCGGCTGGAAACGACAATTGTTGGCAAAGTGGAATGCATTGAGAATCTGGAAAGGGAACGTGATGAGCTCCATGCAGAAGTTGTTAGTTTGAAAGATAATTTGAGGTGTAAAGAGAAGCAGGTGGATGAAGTTAGGGAGCATGTGCAAAAACTGGAAAGGGAACGTGTGGAGCTGGTATCAGGCGTTGAAAAAGCAGATAAGGTGGCAGAGGAGTTAAGATTAAGAGAGAAGGAACTAGAAAGGGAGGTGGAGAGGCAAAGAGAACTGGTAATGGAAGGAGCAGAGGAAAAAAGAGAGGCTATAAGACAGCTATGTTTTTCGATTGAGCACTACAGGAGTGGATATCACATGCTAAGAGAAGTTTTCATCGGTCACAAGCGGGTTCCGGTGTTGGCATCTTAATCAGTCATGGCTGTAGTACATACATGTTTAGAATATATGGAATGTCCAAGAGTTGTTGGCTTGTTTTTGGGGTGAAACAAATAGTTGAACACGATACGGTTCTGTTTATTAAAATTAATGATGTAAATGTAGTTGTTGAAGTAAACAATGAGCGGGGGCTTGTCTAACGCCTACCTGCCGCTGGTAATGTCCTGGATTTTGTTTTCACAACTCTGCCATGATATGTCAATGGTCCAGTATCCAGAGACACAACTCCTTACTTCAAAGTATGTACACTTATAGGACCTTTTGTACTTGGGTAAAACTTGTAATTTGGAAGACGCAAGCAAATGAGCCCCATCTTCTATGGTTCGTATTTTGTTCTGCAACGCCACTATTCTTCGAAACAAATTTGATTAATAGTGGATGGCCTTATTGTCAACGTTATATCATGACGCAACACGTTCAGTGAAGAAGAGGAATGGCCCTATTCTCTTCTATTTTCTATTCACAACTCTATATTTGAAGAGGAATACGTTTGATATTCATTGCGATTGGTACTGTATGTTGGCACTGTACTTCATTTTCTATCTTCTAATCCCTTCACAGTCTCTTGGTACTGTATGTGATTTAGATCCGGTTATGAAAATTTAGTCTTCTGTGATACATATCACTTAGAGGAAACTGGTTGGAGGGATTGCAGTTTTTGTGGCAAGGTAAGCAAATGTACTGGTAATGGCCTTTAGTTTTAAGGGCCTTCTCTCAGCGAATATATTTGTGTGTAAGTACGTAAGTAGGTACCAATTTGTCTCCATTTCTAATTGTGACTTTATATATAGAACTTTTTTTTTTTTTTTTTTTTTTTTTTTTTTTTTTT